GGAAGAAGGGAAGATGGAAGAGGAAACTCCCTAAACCACCTACAGCGAAGGTGCTGGTTGGATATATATCGAGAGAGGCGAGAGGGAGAGAGGGAGATGAGAGAGAGAGAAGTAGAGAAAGATAGACAGACAAAAGGAGAGAGGTGGATGAGGAGGAGGAGGAGGAGGAGGAGGAGGAGGAGGAGGAGGAGGAGAAACGTCAAAGTTCCAAACCTATTTATTTTTGTAAGCAACCGTGGGAATTCAGATTGTCATCTGCTCGTGTAGGGTAGCTCACGTGCTTCGGTGTTCGTGGATAGTAGACCACAGCGATAAAACAAGTTCAGGTGGGGCAGGGGGGGAGGAAACGGAAAGAGAAAGAGAAGAGCAGACAGAAGAGAGAGAGAGAGAGAGATAAAGACAACGCTGTTGGTTTCGCTTGAACGTCTTCGCTTCGTTTGATGTTGCTATCTCAACATAAGAAGGAAGTTAACCTCGATGGTGAACTTTTCACAGTGATAAACAAGTTCGGCCTCCGCGCCCCGCGCCCCTGACCAAACTCTTCTTGGCCGTGTATAATCAACTCTAGCCTGGAAAGGGGGGGGTCCTTTTTTTTTTTTTTTTTTTTTTTTTTTTTTTTTTTTTTTTTTTTTTTTTTTTTTTTTCTTTTTTTTTTTTTTTTTTTTTTTTTTTTTTTTTTTTTTTTTTTTTTTTTTTTTTTTTTTTTTTTTTTTTTTTTTTTTTTTTTTTTTTTTTTCCTTTTCCCCCCCCAAACAGCTTGCTGAACGGGGTGCTGTTGTGATAGAAGCTAATTCCGGCCGAGGGAAAGCTAAGCAGAGACATCCTCAAACAAATGTGGTGGTCCGGCCCGTTTCGCCTGAGACATCCTCACAACTCTCGTTTCTGAGTTGTCCGGGAGTGAGCGTTTCGCCTGAGACATCCTCCTAAATCTGAGCTCTGAGAGGCCGCGCGAGTGGTGGTCCGGGCCGTTTCGCTTGAGACATCCTCGAAACTCTGAGCTCCCAGATGCCGCGCGACAGGTGGTCCGGGCCGTTTCGCCTGAGACATCCTCGCAACTCTGAGCTCCAAGATGCCGCGCGCGAGGTGGTCCGGCCCGTTTCGCCTGAGACATCCTCGAAACTCTGATCTCCCCGATGCCGCGCGCGAGGTGGTCCGGCCCGTTTCGCCTGAGACATCCTCGAACTTCTGAGCTTTGAGATGCCCTGCGCGAGGTGATCCGGCCCGTCTCGCCTGAGAAATCCTTGCAACTCTGAGATCTGAGATGCCGTGCGCAAGGTGGTCCGGCCTGTTTCGCACAAGATATTCTCGCAACTCTGAGCTCTCAGATGCTGCGCAAGAGGTGGTCCAGCCTGGGGGCCCAGAAGGCCACATGTTACATATCCTTCATGGGACCCTGCGAGCCTCAGGAGGCCCCAGAGAGGTCCAGGAGGCCGCAGGACGCCCAGGACAGGCCCCAGGGGCCCCCAGGAGATTCCCAGGAGGCCCCAGGAGGCCCTCTATCAGAACGTGTCAAGTTAATACACATCCGGTGTCGATTCGTTGATTTTTCCTGCTCTTGTGCCCCCCCCTCCATTTGGAGAGGCCCAAGCGGCCACAGGTTAGATATCCCCCCTGGGAGCCCCAAGATGCTTCAGGAAACCTCAGGTGGAGTTCAGGAGGCCACAGGAGGCCCAGGAGGAAGCTCCAGAAGGTCCCCAGGAGGCCCAGGAGGCACCAGGAGGCCGCAGGACGCCCAGGACAGGCCCCAGGGGTCTCCAGGAGATTCCCAGGAGGCTCCCAGGAGGCCCCAGGAGGCCGCCTATCAGAACGTGTCAAGTTAATACACATCCGGTGCCGATTCGTTGATTTTTCCTGCTCTTGTGCCCCCCCCACCCCCTCCATTTGGAGAGGCCCAAACGGCCACAGGTTAGATATCCCCCCTGGGAGCCCCAAGAGGCTTCAGGAAACCCCAGGTGGAGTTCACGAGGCCACAGGAGGCCCAGGAGGAAGCTCCAGGAGGTCCCCAGGAGGCCCCAGGAGGCACCAGGAAGCCCCCGCAACTCGGAGCTCTGAGACGCCGCGCTCGAGGTGGTCCGGCCCGTTTCGCCTGAGACTTCCTCGCAGCACGTTTCGGCCGAGACATCGTCGCAACTCTGGGGTCCGAGATGCCGCGCGCGAGGTGGTCCAGCCCGTTACGCTGGAGACATCCTCGCAACTCTAGGCTCCGAAATGCCGTTCGCGATGAAGAGGAGGTGGAGGAGGAGGAGGAGGAGGAGGAGGAGGAGGAGGAGGAGGAGGAGGAAATGGAAGGGAGAAGGAGGAGGCGGATGATGTGCATGAGGGAGCAGGCAGGAGGAGGGGGAGGTCCCAGTGAGCTTCAGGAGGCCGCAGGACGCCCAGGACAGGCCCCAGGGGTCTCCAGGAGATTCCCAGGAGGCTCCCAGGAGGCCCCAGGAGGCCCTTTATCAGAACGTGTCAAGTTAATACACATCCGGTGCCGATTCGTTGATTTTTCCTGCTCCTGTGGCCCCCCCCTGTATTTGGAGAGGCCCAAACGGCCACAGGTTAGATATCCCCCCTGGGAGCCCCAAGATGCTTCAGGAAACCTCAGGTGGAGTTCAGGAGGCCACAGGAGGCCCGGGAGGAAGTCCCAGGAGGTCCCCAGGAGGCCCCAGGAGGCACCAGGAGGCCCCCGCAACTCGGAGCTCTGAGACGCCGCGCTCGAGGTGGTCCGGCCCGTTTCGCCTGAGACTTCCTCGCAGCACGTTTCGCCCGAGACATCGTCGCAACTCTGGGGTCCGAAATGCCGCGCGCGAGGTGGTCCAGCCCGTTATGCTGGAGACATCCTCGCAATTCTGGGTTCCGAGATGCCTTTCGGGATGAAGAGGAGGTGGACGAGGAGGAGGAGGAGGAGGAGGAGGAGGCATGTTTTAACATGCCATGCCAGCCCGCACTAGGCGGGCACGCAATCGACCTTGGAAACCGCAGTGGGTCTAAAAACCCTGTTTGGGGATACTGCACTCCGGCTATAATTTTATCAACGGCAGGGGGTTACCGAGGGTGGAAGAAGAACATATACAGTACCAGTGGCGGGCTGCTTTCCAATCCCAGGACTTTTTGAGGGTCGGGGACAATGTCGGGGTGGTGTGATGTATGATTACCTCTTTTTCCGTTCCCCAGGGGAACGCAAGAAAATGTATACACCAGGCTCCCGTATACACGAGGATCCGCTTTCTTGTGCAAATTTCAATGCAGGGCCAGAAGAAGCGATGGTTCATAAAGTTTGTTTCCCTACTAGGGGGCTGTCTTAACCCGCCCCGAAGCCTCACATTTGGTGGTGCACAGACGCCTTCAGCGTGTGGACAGTACCTGTGACCCGTGGCCCTCATGCGATGATACGAGGAGCGGATGTTCGGGCAGCCGTGCCGTCCGCCCGCGTGCGCCGCGCGGCACCAGAGCTGCCAGCCGGCCATGGCCCGCCGGTCGCCCAGGATCGAAGCCAGGAGGACGGAGGATGAGGAAGGAGGGCAAGGACGAAATTCGTCGAGGCTGAGCTTGATCGCCGTTGTCAGCCTGTGCTGACCTTCGCAAGGTCCAGGGACCGTCAGAAACGCTTCAGGATGAAAATCTGGTCCCAGGGAATGAGTCGAGACCTCCGTTGGTCCACGTCATGAGAAATCATGACGTCGGGGATCTGGTGACGGGGGGGAGGAGGAGGAGGAGGAGGGGGAGGAGGAGGAGGAGGAGGAGGAAGAGGAGGAGGAGGACTGAAGACAGAGACTGACGTCGTCACGGCTCAGGTTGTCAGTCCTTAGGACGGGGGCGAAAATTGTGTACGCGGCCGTTCTTGTCAGACGCCTTCCGTTTCTTGTCGATGCAGACATGGCAGCCTCTACCATTATGCCACTCCAGGTTGCCATGTCCCTCCGTGGCGCCAAGATCTGCTGAGACTTTGGTTTTCAGCGTCAAGGTGAACATCATAGAAGGTGGTTTCGGTTGGGCGGGGGGTCCTCGTCATCCCCGTCGGAGCAGCTCGACAGCCCGGTCAAGATGACGCCTGAACGAGGCTGTCAACGTTTTGAGTTCTCAGACATGTGGCATCAAAGCGACTATTTTTTCGCCGCTTTCGACCTCCAAGGGCTGCTCTCGGGTGCCGGAACAGCGTAGCAGTTAAAGCAAGTCCAGGATGAAAAAGCGGTCCCCGGGGAGGCTCGAAAGGTACAGGGGCCACTCGCCGAATCAAGTCACAACGTCGGACGTCAAGCCGTTCATCCTGGACCCATACAGTCGCCACCTCAACGCCTGCCATCTGGTGCGCCGCGAAAAATCATTACACCTTGGACACCCTAAAGTTCAAGCCAATGTCGACGTACACCTCTCACAGCGAGATTTCTAATCGTGTGTATCTGTAGTGCGCGGTGTCGAATCAGCATTCTCCGCCAGGTCGCCAGTCGCCGTTGTCGCGGCTGCGGCTGCGCTGATTGCCGCCGCGCTTTCCAGCTCGCAGCCTGGATGGCTTGCGCCGCGCTTTGCGCTGAGGAGGGGTCGTGGGGGGGGCACATGTTGGGTGTCGAAGAAGTGTGCTGCGATTCGAGCCAGCAACAGAAGGTCCTTCCTTTCTTTGACAAAAACGACGTGCGCAGGGGCCCTGACCCATTCCAGAGGACCGGCATTTCGCCCTGGATAGTTTCTGACGGCCTCTTGGCCCGCAAACGGCTACCCGAGGCCGAACACGATAAATCCGTAACATTGTGTATTATGTGTGTTGTGTAATGTATGTTGTGTGTTGTGTGTTGAGTGCTGTGTGTTGCGTGCTGCGTTGTGTGTTGTGTGTTGTGTATTGTGTACCGCGTGTTGCGTGTTGTGTCTTTTGTGTTGTGTTCTGTGTGCTGTGTGTTGTGTGTTGTGTTTTGTTGTTTCCAGTGTGTGTGTGTGTGTGTGTTATGTGTGTTGTGTGCGTTGTGTATGTGTGTTGTCTGATTCAACTCGATGGCTTGCCCCCGCGCTGGCCCGCTGTGGAGGCCGAGGCATTCCGCGCGCTTGTGCCTGGCATCAGCCAATGGGGATGCCCCAGCGACCTCCGGCACATCGATTTGCTGGGCTTCCCCAAAGCCTTCGTGGATATGGGCGCGCGGACGCGGGCGGCCCAGTTCCGGGTATATCATTTGGAAGCAGCTAGCACTGGCGGACTGCGAGTTCGACAGCGCGCGGCGGGGCTGCGGCGCGCCCATCTGGCGGCGGACGACGTGGTGATGAAGGCTACCTGGGCCGATTGGTTCGCCCACTCCTTCCTGCTGCAGCTGGACGCTTCGGCCGGCCACTTCGAGTTGCGCGGGGTTGCCCCCCAGGATGTGGAGCGCAGAGCCCTTCGCTAGAAGCCGCGATCCCGCGGCCCCTCACGCGGCAGCAGGCGCAGCTCGTGAAGGCGACCTTCCAGCGGACCGCAGCAGCCTCACTACCCCAGGTGACGACGCTCGAGTTGGAGGTGCGTATCCGGCACAAACTCAGCAGGTGGCGCGTGCCAGAGCTCCCTCGGATCCGGGTATCCCGCTGCATCGAGTTCTTACAGGCACTGCGAGGACGAGCACCGCCACGAGTCTGGGCGGCGACGTGGCGCACGCTATGGAATGGCTGGGCCACAAGCAGGCGTACGCAGGGTGCAAGGGGCCTAGCTGGTTGCATGTTTCGGTGCTCCGACGAGGCGCCGGACTCCATCGAGCACTACGCCACCTGCCCGCGCTTGCACGAGGTGACAGGAAGGCGGCTGGGCCTGCCGCGCGTTGCTTTGCCGGGCGCGCGATTGTCCTCCTTCCTCGGATTGGATTTCCGGGCGAACAGCGACCCGGCGAGGGCGGTCTGCGTGGCGGTCCGCGCAACCGCGGCGTATCGCACGCATTGTCAGTGTCGCCACGGCCAAGTTTCGCGCGGGCCGGCGGCGATGGAGGCCCTCGACCAGTCGTGCCGCGAGGCGGTGCGCGGGCACGGCCGCTCAGAGAGGATTGTTGACCGCGCGCACGGATGGAACTGATTGCGTTTCTGGAGTTTTCTCTCCTCCTCTCCTCCTTCCTCCCGCTCCCCGTGCATGTCCCGCCGCGCGGTGCTCACGCCTGCTGGCCCGCACTGCTTGCCCGGCTCCGCCATTAGCGCGGCGCTGCGTCGGCAGCCCGGCCCGGTTTTGCCTGGGCAGCGCGCGGTGCGCTCAGGCTGCGGCGCCGCCGCGCCTGTTTCGCAATTTTTCGCACACCTTCTGTAGCGTTGACATCAGATTTTGCGTGTCCGCTGTTCGGGGTTTCTGGGCCGCACACCGCCAGGGGGTCGTGCGCGCCACCTAGTATCTGTTGGCCTGCCGCTTCCTTGTCTCCCGTCCCTCTGCCGCGGCTTCTGCTGCTGCTGCTTGGTGCCGGTTCCCGTTGTCGTCCTTCCCTTCTTCCCTCCTGCTCTGCGGCCGCCTCTCTCGCTCGCTTCTCTGCTCCTCTCCGTGCTGCTCTCTGGCTTGCCTGCTCTGCTGCCGTCTTCCTTGTCGTCCGTCCTCGGCTTCTCTCGGCTGCTGCTTCCCTCTCCCTGCTGTTGCTGCTGCCGTCCACGCTGTCCAGTGCACTGTTGCGGTCGTGGACTTGATAGATGATACGAATCGGGATTTTTTCGTATCAGTCCTTTCCTCCTCCTCCTCCTCCTCCTCCTTCTCCTTGCGCAGCTCCGTAGCCATTTTGGCTCAAGATGTTTGTGCCCCGTGGCAGAGCACGGAGACCCCTGGTCCGGGGACTGCTAGGACCGCTGCTTTCCGCCTTCGCCGTGCCCTCGGCGTTGTGCATCTCCATATCCTTCGCTGCTGAGACGCAGCTTGCATATTTCTCGCCACCAGCGTCTGCCCTGCGCACGATAGCATCGCGATGGGTGTGCCTGGTGTTGCCAGCTCCGCCGATTCCTGGGCCGACTCCCCCGACAAGGGCAAGGGCAAGGACACAGCTGCTGCCGATCCCTGGGCCGCTGGAGCTCAGAAGCTTGCCGCGTTCGACCTCCCCGCACACCAGCGTAAGGTGCTCACCGATCTCCTCCAGACCCAGGTCGACAAAGCCGCCGCCGCTTTTGAAGCCACATCCAAGCAAGTTGCAGCTGCCGCTCAAGCTGAATTCCTGGCCAACATCACGAAGCTCACCGAACAGCTCAGCAACCGCCAGGAGTCTGCCGAGAGGGACATTACTGAACTCAAAGGTCGTGCTGACCGTGCTGAACGTCTCCAAGGAGAGCTCAAGGCCAGCGTGGACGCCCTCCAACAAGCACTTCGTCATGCCGAGGCTCTTCACCCAGCCATGGATTTGGACGCCTTGGGTGCCTGGGACCGCCCGCCGAATGCTGCAACTTTCTGGTGCGGGGCTGCCTCAGAGTTCTCCGTCGCCTCACTCAAGGCTGCGCTCGCCCCCTGGTTCGAAGCTGCCGACGTGGACATCAACGCGCTCCGCATCAACTCGGAGGGCCCTGCGCGGAGGATCTCGTTTACACTCACTGGCGGCAACTCGATTGCTCTCCCGCGGGCCCATGCCCTACATCGCGCACTTCGGCAAGGTCGTGAATGGCGTCGCTTCCAGGTGGAATCGGACTCTGGCCTCGCTGCCCTCTACGTCTCCGCGGACAAGTCGCCGCGCATGGTACGTCAAGAAGTTCAGCTCAAAAAGCTCAACAAGCTCATCACCGACAAGTTCCCCATGCTCGAGACTCGGGGTCACCGCTCTGGAGGCTTCTTGTCCATCGACGGCGCTCCCATCGTCCAGGTCACAGCTGGCGCTACTCCCGATGCCGCCGCTCAAATTCGCTGGTCTGACGCTGCTGCCCCCGCTGGCATCCTTATCACCGAGCGTGAGCCATTGGCTTCCGCGCTGGCTGCCGCATTCGCCAACCCATTGGAGGCAGCGCGGTGGCTTTAGCATGCGATGGGCGCCGTGGTTCACGAAACCACGCGTGGACGGCCTCAACTTGGTATCATGGAATGCGCAGGCGCTAAATGGCAGATCGGTGTCAAGACGGGCCCTCAAGCGACAGCTGTTGCTCCGTTACATGCGGCAGCGAGCGGTCATCGCCATCCAAGAGACGCGCGGCAACAGCATAGACATGGACCTCCTGGCCGCGAACTCCGAGCACAAGTACATCGCCTTCCACTCAACGCTCGTGACTGACGGCCAGTCCTCGGGGACCGCAGGCGGGATCGCATTCTTGGTTCCCTTTGATCGAGCTGAACTCCAATTGCCTCCTGACCAACGACCTCTACGCTCATTGCGCGTGATCGTCCCTGGTCGCATTGGTGAGCTACGCGTTCAAGACGGGGCAAGACAGCACGAGACAACAATCTTCAACATTCACAACTGCGACCTCAGCGGATCCGACCGTCAACGCTTCAAAGCTGCGCGGCAAGCAGCTGCTCAACGTTCAGCACTCCGCCCAGACAACCACGACTACTACATGATTGGCGACTTCAATATCGCCCAGACGCCGCCGAAGAGCCTGCTTCGCCCCGCCGCGGCCTCCACCGCCGAGCGTTATCGCTACCAGCCTGTCTTTTGGAAGAACATCTGCTCACATATGATAACAATCACAGCGAAGGCCACCGCGCATCGATGCTCGGCCAACATGGCGGAAACGACCATCGACAGGTGCTTCGCCTCGATCAACGCATCCAACATCCCGCGCATCGAGACAGTTCTCGTTGCCGATGGCCGACCGCTTGACCGAGAAGGGGGGCCCATCAGCGACCGCAAGATGCTACATCTACGGCTTCGACCTCGTCAGCCACGTCCAGTCAGCGAGCGCGGCATCCCTGCCTTCCTCTTCGAATCAAAGCACTACAAGTTCCACTACAATCGCCTTGTCGAGATGGCCGACCTCTCAGCTGACCCCATCTCAAACTGGAGGACAATGAAGCACATAATGAAAGTGGCGGCGCGCAAGGCTCGCGACACCATTACCTCTGTCTCCGCCTCCGAGATCATGCCACTCGAGTGCCGAAATGAAGACCCGCAAGTCATAGCTGAGGCGCGTGCACTCACACTACGCAGTATTGCCAGGGCCGTCTGGTACCAGGACCTCGCTCTTGCCCAGCGACTTCGAGAGGTCACCGCTGCAGGGGCACAGCACATCGACATTTGTCACCGCAAGATCTCGCTTGTCGACCGCATCGCATTCGAGACCGAGCACTCCGCCACGCAGTTCCAGATCGCGGAACAACGACGTCGCGCCGCTGCTGCCCGCTCGCGAGCTGCCTACGCGGAACAACGACCCGACCTTGGTGAGCGATGGCGTCGTCATGCTCGCCGTATTGGACAGCGCAGCGAGATTTGGAAGCCGTTCTCGAAGAGCTTGTTTCTCGCAGGTGTCCGCATCACTGACAGCAGAGGCCCTACTGTCGTCAACGACCCCATGGACATGCACAGCGCTATTCAGTCTCATTGGTCGAAGGTGTTTGCAGCCAAGCATGTTGACGCCCCAGCAATGAAGCAGTATTTGGACACAGTCTTCCCACCAATGCCCCTACGCCACCTGCCCCTACCTGGAATTGAAGAACTCCAAGCGGCTGCTAAACTTGCCAGTGACTCTGCCCCTGGACCTGACGGATTGCCATGTCGAGCATGGGTGCGATCAGACGGCAGCATCGAGATCCTCCACGCACTCCTCCACTCCATTGCTCACGGTGGCCCGGTCCCCCACGACCTGAACTACGCGCTCGTGGCCATGTTTCCCAAGGGTGACGAGCCCATGGGCAACTACGAGTGCTCTCGCAGTCCTGATTGTCTTCGCCCACTCGCCATGAAGAACAGTGACATCAAGATCATCGCCTCAGCGACGAACCGCATCCTCAGCTCCGTGGCGTCGGACACCGAGGAAGAACAACAAGGCTTTGTCAATGGCCGTCAATTTCTCTCCAACATCGTCAAGGTGGACGCCATCGCCCGTATCGCCAGCATCAACGGCGATGCATCCAACATGATGCCCTGCTTCGCCAGCATGGACATTGCCGCAGCGTTTCCGAGCCTCACGCACGCGTGGTTGTGGGATTCTCTTAGGAGGTGGGGCATCCACGGCGTCTTTCTCAATTTCCTGCAGTGCTGCTACAACATGCCACTTGCCTTCCTCGACCTAGGTGGTACTCGTCGACCGTTACTTCTAGCAGAATCTGGGGGTGCTCAAGGATGCCCATTGAGCGGCACGCTCTGGGCGCTGGTCTTCGACCCCATCATCAAGGGCCTCAAAATGGAACTTACTACTCTGGGTAGAGGCCTGCTCAGCGCTTGCGCCGACGACCTGGGCATCGTTCTGGCTGCACTGCGGGATCTTGGCTCCCTTCTACCACACCTGCACGCTGCACGACATTACGCTGGTCTCCGCCTCCAACCGAAGAAATGCGTCCTCGTGCCCACCTGGTCCCTGCCAACGCCCGAGATCACCGCGAACATGCGTGCAATCCTGACCCAGATCTACGAGCCGTGGCAAGACTTCTCCATCAACAGCTTTGCGCGCTACCTCGGCGTGTACATCGGTCCTGGCGCCTCTCTCGAACGTCAATGGCAAGGGCCTGCCAACAAGTGGTGGGAGCGCATTCAGATCCTGTGCGACTCCAACGCTCCCATCCAGCAGTGCATCAAGATGTACAACTCCGCTGCCATCACATGCCTCTCGTACGTCGGCCAGCTCTCCCACCCTCCCCAGCATTCTTGTCCAAGGATATTCACGGGCTCCACAAGCTGATCCGTGCTGCCCCCTCCAGTTTCTCAAAGATGGACATCTCGTCGTTCGCGCTATGGGCGTCTGTCACAATCCCGCAGGGTATTGAAACGTTACTCGCAGCAACGATGTGGCGCGCCTCCACGACCGCCATCCCTGGCTGGCAGCCTCTGCTTCACGCGATCCGTGCCCATGCTGAAGAACTTCTCCCGCTACGAGCGGTAGTAGTTGGCAAATGGTCGGCGTCGTGCTGGATTG